CTGTCCGGGTTGTGCTAGCGAAGGCTTTGTTGCTGCCTACGCTGCGGGTGAAAGGAACAAGCCGGCAATTTTGACTTTCTAATTAATGCTTTTTACATTCAACGTGTATTCTCTTGAAGCAGGTCCCACGAGCCTGGCTGGGTAGGATCGCTGTGGGGCTGGGGCTTTTTTAGAAAGGCACTGCTGTTGCAAGTGGGGATTTTAGCTGCTGGTTTTCTTGCACACTCTCTGCTGACCAGGCAACAGGAACTTCATTAGGGTCATATTTTTATCTCTCTGTTTCATTTACGCTATAGAGAATATGACTAAGTATATCCTACAGAGCAGGCCACACAGATTATTCACAATGTGAATATTCAGCAGAGTAGTGGATATTTAGAGATCTTCAGCAAAAATATGTTAAGCATCTTGTTGGAAGGCTGCAAGATTTGTAATGCTGCAACTCGGTCAGACCTTGCGGTGCCTCGGCTCGGTTTCCCAGGCTGCAGCCGAATGTCAGCGCCAGCGCCTGCAGCACCGGGGCTGCTGTTCTGCATCCTTCAAATTGAAGAGTAACTGAAAAACAGATGACTTCTGAAATCAATGTATGCTTTAATGAACCGGTACATAAGATTAATTTTTGATGAAGTTCTAAGACCCCTGTTTTACAAAACTAACTCAAGTTCACGTTTGTGTTTTCAGAGGAAGAAAGAAGAATGTCACAAAAACACCTGAAAGAAGCCTTTATCAGCAACTTAAACGGAACTAGTTTGCTGGAAATTTCACTCGGCTTGTCTCTAGCTCCACTGTGCCTGCTTTGCAGAGGACTCCTCTTGATTTTATACTACCTGCACTATGGGAAACCTTTAAGTTCCAGGAAATATAGCCTGCTGCTAGACTTCCTTGTGCTAGTATCGCCTCTCCTGTTCTCCTGTACAGTCTTGTCTCCGATCGTCTTTTTCATGCCAACTATCACTGCAGCCTTCTGTGCCGCAATATTTTGTCAAATATACAGCCAAAGAAAACATAAGACCAGAGTGCCTTTTAGGCAAATTGTAAAAGACTTCCAGAAGACATACTTGGATCCAGAATACATTCCAGCAATAACGGTGTTCCGTGTTTATGTCAATGTGTTGACATCAATCAGCATTTTAGCAGTGGATTTCCCGCAGTATCCAAGGCGATACGCCAAGGTTGAGACCTATGGAACAGGAATTATGGATTTGGGGGTTGGAGCTTTTACTTTTGGTAATGCTCTCGTCTGTCCTGAAGTTAGACAAAAGTCTTATGTGACACAACCAAAATTTTCCAGTCTGGCCAGGCAGTTCTTTTCCGTTTGGCCATTGATTTTTCTTGGCTTTGGACGACTGCTTAGTGTGAAATCCATAGAGTATCATGAACATACTTCAGAGTATGGAGTGCACTGGAATTTTTTCTTTACCTTAGCATTTGTGAGGCTTGCAGCATCTCTACTTTTAGCTGTATTTCCAAAAAATAATTCTTGGATTGTTGCTATAAATCTCGCTGTACTTTATCAGCTTATTCTTAACACTACCTCTCTGAAGTTGTTTATCCTGCATGGGAGCAACGGCAGAGATACTAGGGTTGGCTTTTTAAATGCCAACAGGGAAGGACTGCTCTCTCTTTTCGGATATCTAGCCATATATATGGCGAGCGTCCAAGTGGGACTCTGGCTGCTGAAGTGCAGAAACTCAGTCAAAGGCTGGATTGAAGCCGTGTGTTTCTCGCTGCTGGCAGTTCTCGTGCTCTTTGTGTTTCTTCACGTGTCGCAAACATATGCAGACCCTGTGTCCCGCCGGATGGCGAATCTGTCCTACTGCATCTGGGTGCTTGCTCACTGCCTGATGTTCTTCATCTGTTTTGTAGTGACTGATCTCATGCTGGTGTTCACAAAGCTGCTGGTGAAGGGGTCCAGCGTGCCCTGTTGCTGGAACGTTGTGAAGCCGCCTAGTACTAGTAAAGAGCGTGAAAGGGAGGCCCTGCCTATTGGAAGGGAAGGCAAGCCGTCGCACATTTGCCTGATCAGCGCGATTAATAAAAATCAATTACTATTTTTCTTGCTAGCAAATGTTATGACTGGTACTGTGAATATACTGATAGATACAATCCACAGCAAGACTGCATTTACATTATGTATACTACATTTGTATATGTTTTTCAACTGTTTAATTATGTATATATTGCATGCCAAAAATATAGTATTAAAGTTTTGGTGATTCCACTCTTCCACTCTGTCTTCAGTGGACTAGTTGAACTTTGTTTGCTGCAGTGGAATGATGAGATTTTAACGGAAAAATTAGTATTTTTCCTGTATGTATTGCAATAATTTATAACTTAGTATAGCTTTTTATGATTTAATGTTGATTATTTTTTTAATGGCTTGTTTTACCAAATTATACAGTTAATGCTGTTACCTGTTGGAGTCGTTACACATTTTCCTGAAAACTTAGTTTTTGAGATTTTGTAGGAGCAGCAGGAGTATTCAGCAAACACACTCACGCACGCAGAAGAATACCACTGTATTTACAGTTAGTGACCTCTGTTCATACCCAACTGCTGGAAGAATTAGATAACAATGTATAGAGTAGAAGCCAGATGAAATGTAAGAAAATGAGTAGTTATACAGAGAGAGGCTTAGCTGTGTCAAGATTTACCTAGTTAAGGCCCTTGCGTAAATAACAGATAAGAATAATTCTTTATATAAAATGTATTGAATAAGTGGATACTTAAAAATGTTTTGGCCCCAGTCCTGGAAAGATTTATGCATATGCTTGACTTTGATGGGAATAATTTTATGTGGAATGTTAATCATATACTGAAATCTAAATTAGCCTTTGAATTAAAGCTAAATTTTATTTTGATCCTCACTGCTGAATATAAATGAAAACCCTAGATAAAAGCATGATGCTCTGAAGGATAAAACTGAACTGCAGATGAATTCATAAAGCAGTTGTTGGAATTTGTGGTGCAGATAAGAGCAGCACAGCCTTTTTATAAGAAAATACACAGATCCAAAACTACTTCACCCTCAGCCTGCATACCAACATGTTGTGACAGCTCATCTTTGGGAATGCTGTAAAATACAGTCTTCAGCTCTACTTTAAAAGTACTCAAGGCCCACCTACTTGTCTATAAAATTATTTTAAACAGCAGCTCATTTGGCACTGTATTTTGACAGCTGAGATGTCTTCAAGTGGGAACACTCTGTATCAGTTTTTATTAGCAAACAAACAGTGTGCAAAGGGAAAGAAGCACGATGCAGTGGGTCAGGGTACCGGCAGAGTATTGACAAGAGATGTGCTTGGTTTCTCTGTCAGAGTCTTCCTGCAAGCCCAGAGCAGAACACCCTCTTTGTTCACTTTCCTAACTGTGACAGTTCTTCCTGACCTCATTAAGTTGTTGAGAAGAGAAATGCATTTAAAGATTGTGAGGAATTCAATAATGGGAGATATAAATACTTAAGAAGTAGAATACAAATGGTAGCTGATGATAGATGTCTAACGTCAATGGAGTTCCAGCAGTGTATATGGGCCATATTTCTCCTTGTCTATCAAATGCAGTGAATCATAAAACCTATGGAGATTAAGCCTTTAAATCAGACTCCTTAAGGCAGACATGCCATGGAATATTCTTAAATTTATGAGGTTCTCTTAGCCGTTGGCCAATGGAAGGGTGAAGTCTGAGGATTATAGGCTGTGGCCATGCTGATTTCATGCTTGTTTACTTCCAAGTTATAGCCATCTAGTCTGTAGAATTAAAGAAAACCAGCCTGTATTATCCCAGGGACAAATGCAGTTATTTGGCAACAATGTCTTAGAAACAGTTGCCGCGGTTTATAGCAGAGTTTTCTGGTAACTGGCGTACGTATTTATTTTAAAACATTTCCTAGCCTTGCCTAGGTAAGAAAGGCCTCCATCATGAACTGAATGGCACTACTCGTTTATGCAAAATTACTCATGGATATTAATTTTTGAAATATTTGAAGCACAAGACGTGCAATGAGTTCTGCCTGTGAGCACAAGTCTATCAACATGATTCAGAATTAAGGCATTAATTGGGTGTGACAAAGTGGAGTTGTGTCTGGACAAGCAGCAAACTATCTAGATGCCAACTCCATTTTGTGAAGCAAAAATTACGTGGGAGGTCTGCTGTGTCTGCGCAGAGCCCTGTTAGCTCCGCACAGGCAGCAGGGTGGCGGGTACCGATTCCAGGACTGGAGCTGTGGTTTGCAATGACAGAGCCAGCAAACCGAGGGGATTGCGGTGCACAAGGAATGACCAGTGAGAACAACCCACTTCTCTCAACGACGGCACACCACCACATCATGAGGCCATCTCCGGCTTTTAAAGCTGTATGAAGTAAGTTCTTCACCACTGAATTAATGAGAGACAATTAATTCTCATTGCTTATTGTCGATAACAAATGCAGCAAGCTCTGCCCTGAAGCAACCAGCATAGTTATTAATGCTGAGTGTTTAGACTATGAATAGATACAGATAATTAACCATGCCTCTGAAAGAACCAAGAAATGCAAGCAAGCATTCTTTGATCACAGGGTCTGTACGAGCAAACGGCACAGTATTGAATCTGAAAAGATGCGAGAGAAGTTAACACTAGAACACTGCTGTAGACACTTTCTCCACGCACATCTCAATAGCTGTTAGCTGAGTGGTTGGTAGGAACAAGAACACTGCATTTCGTTTCACTTTAGGGTGTGTTTATACAAGTAAGCTTGTACAGATCAAAGATACATTTTTAAAAAATCAGAAACTTCGATTTAGCTGTTACATTATTAGTAAAAGTTAAAGTTATTTCAACTAGTAAGACTAAAATGATTCAACTATAGCATGCCACCAACTTCAATAATAGTAAAGCAGAGGACTGGGTAAACAAATTGTTTTGTCTTTGCTGCCATAATTCCACCGAATGACCTTTTTGTAGGGCTGCAGGGTAGAAAAAAATACGGTGGGAGAGTAGAGTTGATTACATTTATCCTTAACCTTATTGTTTGTTAAACATTAGAAGCTTCTTAGAAATTTCATTACTTTTAAGGATTGACTCACTAGCATGCCTTCCTTTCCAACCCAGTAGTGTCTCTTTTGAAGTCAAATGTTACAATAAAGATTTCAGACAGTATCCTATTTCAAAGCCACTATGTCCTAAGGAACAGGTATTTCTTCCAGGCAAAAGAGGGGCATGCAAATGAACAGCACGAAGGGGCTGTCTGTCTTTTCACTGTTTTGTAGATAACAAGCAAGCTGCCATGTTCGAGCAACTTAAAAAACCCCCTTTCCATGGATAAAAACTACATGAAATGTAATGGTGCTTTTCACACATAGTTTATCAATGTGCACCCTGAGAATACAAAATTTGGAGCATTGCTGTTTTGTCGATGTGATCCAACCATGCTCTGGGAGCGGAGGCGCAGAAGTGACACAGGAGCCCGCACGCTGAATGGACCTTGTGAAGACAACGCGTGCTCGTGACAGTCCAAGTCCGGTGTGCTGACGATACTGTAATGCTAGGAACTATCCCTTGTTACAAAATGCTAGCTTTCTTTTTTGCTGAAGAAAACCATGAAAATACACAAACTGCTAACTGTGCAGCGATGTGGCTCTGCACAACGTTTCCGTTAGAGATGTTGCATGAGGAGTTCAAGTAAATTAACTCCTCCACTAAAGATGGTTTTTATGCAGACGCAAGAAAAAAAAAAAACACTGCTCCCTAATTGCCTCCCCTGCATTTTCTTGTGAGGACTTTGGTATCTATATACGTAAATAACAAGAAAGAACAGATCAACTGTATTATTTAATAGTCCAAGAAAGGCTATGGGTTTTTTTTTCTGGCTGCCTAAATTAAGCAGCCACGGGATTTCTAGTTGTTTGCAGCAGGGTGCTGCAGAAGCCAACAGCCTGAAGTTACGAGACTGTAAGTCCAACTAAAGCCTGCTTTCCCTGGCATGTAATCAGGGCCGGGAAATCTGAGGCTGCACTTTGACGGTTGCGCTGCATCTGAAGCGCAGGCGTTCGACGCATTTTTTGTGAGTTTAC